AAATGGTAGTAGATTAAATTCAAATTAATAATTATTTTCCACAAATACAATATAATATTTAAAATGGAAGGAAGAAGAAAAAGCTGAAGAAAACTAATATTGTTGTAAAATATATTTTTTTGGAGTGAAGGTTTTGTGGGTCTGGATACAGTGGACTTACTGTCAAGATAACGGTAATATACTGTAAAAAAGTTTTTTTATAATATTAGTGAATGGTAGTATAAATTAGTAGTATCAATTGTAATAGTTTAAATAAATGGTAGTAGATTAAATTCAAATTAATAATTATTTTCCACAAATACAATATAATATTTAAAATCATTCTCAACGGCTATCAAAATTAACAATAAAGCGAAGAGTTTCTTTCGAAATCTTACAATTTGCTGCGACATCAAGCACCACCGTCTCTTGTAGGGATTAATGCAATGAAATTTTAACTAAATATTGTCGCAAACTGCTTTCCTGCTTAGCTAAGCTTGCAGAAGTGAAGCTTCAAACTCCTCAAATACAGCAAACGAACAAGAAATGCGGACGGCAAAAATTAGCTCCAAAGTTGCTTACAAATTCATTACGCATTCCCACACACAACAACAACACACACACGAATATATATATTTTGCTTACAGTGCAACTTGCTAGCTTAAGTACTCACCCGCACTTTCCGCACCGTCTTGCGGCTGTCGTTCTTAATATTCACCGTCACGCAGACATCCTCGCCATGCGTATACCAGGCCTTATCGAGGCTCGCCCGCAAGCCGACACGTCCGTCCTGCAAGAGGAACGGCTTGTCCACCGCACCCTGTGGTCCACCGCCGCCGCCGCTAAGCGCACACGCTGCATTATCGCCAATCACACCGCCCACCGTGACAGCGCCGATGCCGCCGGTAGCAGTGGTGCAATCGTACATTGCGGTTGAAGACGAGGCCGGGTTGTTGTTGTGTTAGATGGAAGTAGGTGTGTAACGCGCAGCAGTGGTGTAGGGATTTGTGAATTTTCATTGCATATTTGTTGTTGCCGTCAAGTAACGGTAGCGTGCGCGGTGGGAAGAGAAAGGCAAACGGAAACGCATATTCGATTAGTTGCTAACTACAAGTATACATATTGTTGTATAAGTATGCCTTCACGTAGTTTATTCTTTCTGAACTTTCATTTTCAATAACACACAACCTACATAGTCCTACACTCTTCTCTGACTCTACACTACGCTGTCTACCTACGTACTATCCGCAGTCCACGGTCCACTGTTCTTAACCAACAATTCTCGGTATGTGCTGTCGACAGACTAATACATTAGTGTTGGCTCAGTCTGCTGGTTTACTTGACTTTTTAGTGGCGTCATTCTTCCGACAGCAAATATTGACTTAATTCAACTGGATTGGCATTTTACTATCCTCTAATAATTGTTGCGCTTTGGATGCTTGCGTTGACCTTTCATTGGCTTTTGTGCTAAAGTCTGCGCTTTTATATTTATTTCGCTTACATGTGTAATCACTTCACTGTGACGTCAGAGAATTACTAATACACATTTTTATTATGCTATCAAAAATTTAATAGATTTTCGTATGCACAGGGCGACCAAAAGAACTGAATTTTAATGAAAGAGAAACTGAAGATATTTGTTCTGCGAAGAACCATAAGTTAAGCGCCTCCTCGCCTTTGATCTCCTTTCGACCACAAAAATAAATTAATAATAAGTGAGGTTTTGTTGAAACACCTAACAACTTTAGAATTAGTTTTGACAGAGTGGCCAGAAATCCATTCTAATATTGTATTTTTACCAAAACACTATTTAGAGTTTACATAGTTCTGTGGCCTCAGCTCATAAAAGCCACTAGTACTTCTGGCGTATCTAAGAATACTTTTAAGCTATTATATATTTTGAGCCCTGTACGAAACGTGCCCGCATGATTTATCTCAAAGTAATCGGGTATTTCTGAGACCATCCTCCATGTGGTACTCAAACCAACTTCAACAACAAATACGCTGTTCTGTTCATCTAGATCATTTAAATATTTCAAGAGAATCATTCGTAGATTAGTTACGTTCGAATTAGACAGACTTTGTCTTTTGATAAATAAAGTAGATTTCAAAGCAGGAAACTTGATCTTATCAATTCTTTTCTTGAAGAAGTATTTGCTCTGTTTGAGTCCATTACTAAAGAATACAGAAAAATCCACCTGAAGGATCTTCATTTTCATATTGTCCTATAAACTTTTAAACCTCTGAAAGAATATTCACCAGCATTGCTTAAAGAGAGATAAGTAGCAGTATTATGCTGATTGATAGGATTGAGTGAATAACATTTGAGCGGGCTAGGCAAGACTCTGCGTGTGTGTTTGGAACCATATTGTGCAAGCTCGAGTTCTGGTAGCTGAAGATACAGGTCAAAAGTTTGTAATTTCTTTCAAAGTATCATAATGCTTTTCACGAACTGTTAGTGAAATGAAAGTGTAGCAGTTTGTGGAAAGAATGTGAATCACATATATGTAAAAGAAAATCTCGTCCAAACTTCAAATAAGAAATTGATCTACCTGATCCGATATCGATTTTAATTATACCATGCCAAACATTTTATTAGTGGTTGAACTCTAAAAGTACATTAAGATAAATTGGCAAGCGGGTGAATAAATGACCTCATAAAATTCAATGCCAATGTCGAATGCCAAGAACAGTATGGTTAACTCTGGAAAATTTCAAATAAATGTCGAAATTTTTGTTGAGAATCAGCTCTCTGGTAAAGTGACTTTATAATAAATACGTTAGCAAAAATATAGATGACTGAGAATCTACTTTATTTAATTAGTTAAAAGTGATTTACTTATCAAGATTTTATAGAGAGCTTTGAATTGAAATCGAAAACTGGCTTTATTTCACATTTTAAGATGCATTTAAAGATTTCGAAAATTTGCATAATGCATTTTGAAGCCCTTAGCTTGTTTTGAACGGACAACAGAGGAAGCTAGTATTCACCTATCGAATAAAGATTCAAAATGTTCAAATATGGTGGATGAAAATTGCCTTATCTTTGTCGATGTTCGAAAGTTAGTAATCCTTAAGTTGTTCTGAAATAGCTTGACACTTGAAGAAAACTTTATTTACCTGACGAATTGAAGTTTGAGCAGAACAGAAAACATTAAGGAATGCATAAAATCGTCTTCCATACTTTGATTTAAGATGCTTGATAAGGCAATGACCGCAATAATAATCAATTAGAGTCGAGATCTGTAGCTTTATCAGCATTTGATTTTTCGTCCCAAGAGATTCAGCAACAATTTAAGAATCTAATTAACGATGGGATGACCTACATGCTGTCTACAATTGGCCACGCGTATCTCTATGCGACAAAGTCATTGAGTTGTTTGGCGCATGAGACGACCCCGTTAACTATCCGAAATAGAATGTTACAATATCGGAGCGAGATCTATGGATCGTTAATATCTGAACCTGTCTTGACTGTTGCTTCATAGAGACAAACTATCTCATCTATTCAAAAGGACTTTAATGATCCAGCAGCTTGCTTTAATACCAAGTAATTCAGATTCTGAAATGTAGGAAATAAATGTGTATTATGATGAACTAACTGATGTTCCAGCTCTATAGATCTCTAAATCGAGCTTGGAAAGAATAAGATCAAAGCTACATTCAATGGCTGGATCACCTCAGTATCCTCCTAGAATAAATGTTACTATTTCTGTGCACAGAGCTGTGGCTTCATCAGACTATGCTTCAACGTGAGGTTCATTCTATCTTTGAAGGTGACAAAATTAATGGCATATACAATCAATCGTGCTTAGATATAGTATAGTTATAGTTGCTGCTTCAACATTACCATGCATTTTAGTTTTGTCTATTTCATTACCTGCGCAAATTGAATGTCTCTTCTAATATTCTGTCTTGTAGTTAGGTGTTCTAACGATGTCTTGTCTGTCAAGCAAGTTCAGTTTACCGTCTTTGTATCTCACAATGTATTAATTTTACTCACCCTTGGAAACGATTTACCGTACTTAGAATGGATCATTGGGACACTTCAATCTCGCTTTACTGTACGTCCAAACGCGACCGCCAAATGAAAAGACTTCGGCAGAGGCGCAGCTTTAGAAAGACACACTACGCCTCGACTTACCGCTTGCTTGGTCTGTGTACTGCAGGTTCGATGGCGCCACCAGCAACAATAAGCAGAGCCGAACGTAGCACCTCAAAGTCTGATGTATAATCAGCGCTGCTGCTGCCAACGCGCATTGATCAGGGCGCGGTGGGTTGTATTGCATTGTGCGATGAGTGCACCAGAAGCACCTAAGGCGTTGCGGTGGGTGAATGAGCGCCGCCACATGGCGTGAGGCGCCTGATTGTTGAGCTGAGCGAAATCGGACCGTTTGATCTGTTGATAATACATCGCGATAGTCTAAATGCGACGCCTATTTGACCGAGGGCGCGCGCCGATGGAACTTTTTCATCCGTTGTCATCAGCTGAAAGCAAAAGAAAGAAAGTATAAATATGCGTTCATTAATAGGCTGGAGCAGGGGCTGGAGGTGCGACAAGCGAAATGCACCGATTGCGGTACTGGCAAAGTTCACTGCAGCGTGGAGAGCACGAGAGCAAGAGGGTGTCAGTGTGTTGGCGTTTAAAAATGGCTAGTTGAAAAGTACCGTGCAGTTAACGAGCCATTCAATGCTTTGAGGTTTAATGGGCTTTAAGCGGTTTACGGCAACACACCGGCAGCCGTCTTTGTGCTTGACACCCATACCCCACTGAACTGTTGTATACAACTAGTAACGTAGCAGTCCGCAGCGTTACTGAACCTCATTGTAACACACATATGTTTGTATTTATGGTCACCTGAGCTCAGGCATTTCGTTACTTGTGCGGTCGCACATGGCATGCCACCACAGCGCTGGCGCAATTTCGTCTTTTTTTGTCGTCGTTGTCAACCCTTTAGCACGAAATCGCTAAGTTGTACATGCAGCTGACTCCACTCGAAGCATTGTATGTACATGTACTCGTAAAGGCTTGTAGTACAAAGAGTGCGAAGTTAAGTATGCTGCAGAGTGAAGTATGTGAATCTGCGTGTGTAGTAGGTGTAGTTCTGTGCGTTCAATGTACTGTATAATTGCTGGCAACACAGCAATATGTGCTCACGTGTACGAAATTTGAAGGTTCTTCTCCACCGCATGCAATTTTGTTAATTATCCACTGTTTTGTGCTTTGCGCTTAGTTCAGGAATAAGTCGTGGAAGCTGTCTAATCATTGAAAGAGTACAGCAAAGCTTTGAGCTCGGTTGCAATAGTGTGGGATTACTTAGTATAAGTTCAGGTTAAATTAGAGTTTGGATCTGGCTAAGTGTAGGTTAGGTTGAAGAAACCAGTCTTGCTTGCGATATTTCTAAAATCGAAAAGCATACAGTCTTAGATAACGGTACTGTTAAATTTTGATAGAATCATAAAAAACCTCTTTGGGGTAGGAGATTCGATGTTATAAACTTTAACAAGCGAAATCAAGGTCGACTATGTTATATGCAAGGAGCCATCATAAAATCGTTGAGACGATGGCTCTTGTTATTAAGTAAATAAAATTTTAACTATTAGTAACGGTAATCCCAAAATACAATACAAAAACGCGCCAAACTATGATATGAGTATGGAAGAGAAGAATATTATGTATATCAAATTGGTTTTGTGGTTCCAAAGTCGACAATAGTCCAATCACAGAAAGCAGTAATTCTAAACATTGATGAAAGAGCTCGTTATTCTTAAAGAAAGAAAGTTAACTGGAAAGTTGGGAAGTCTGTGTTAGAAATATATTAGCCGCTTTAAAGGTCAAGGAACGGTGGCTTTAAGCATTTAGCTCCAAAGTCGAGGAAAATCATACTATAAATAATTTTAATTCCAAACGTCGCAGTAAACATTCAT